TTTTTTTTTTTTTTTTTTTTTTTTTGAGATGGAATCTTGCTGTTGCCCAGGCTGGAGTGCTGGCACAGTCCTAGCTCACTGCAACCTTGAACTCCTGGGCTCAAACATTCCTCTCACCTTGGCTTCTCAAAGTGTTGGCATTACAGGCGAGCCACTGTGCTCAGCCCCGTAAGTCTTCTTTTTTTTTTGAGATGAAGTCTTACTCTGTTGCCAGGCTGGAGTGCAGGGATGCGATCTCGGCTCACTGCAACCTCCACCACCCGGGTTCCAGCGATTATCCTGCGTCAGCCTCCTGAGTAGTTGGGATTACAGCTGTGCACCACCACGCCCGGCTAATTTTTGTACTTTTAATAAAGACAGGGTTTCACCATGTTGGCCAGGATGGTCTCCTGACCTTGTGATCTGTACAGCCTTTGCCTCCCAAAGTGTTGGGATTACAGGCGTGAGCCACGGAGCCCGGCCCCCCCATAAGTCTTTTTAATTATTGTCAATGTAATTTGTCAAAAAATTGTATCACATTATTTTATTTTACAGTTCTTTGTTAGTGAAATTCAGCACCTAGCTGTGTACTTATTGGCCTTTTACAACCCATTTATATCCTTTGCTTTTTTATAGAGAGTGTAAAAAGTCTTTATTATGTTCATGAAAGCTCACTATCGATTCTCTTTAACGTATTTTCTCAGTTTGCATTTGTTCTTTCACTTCCTTAATTTCTACATGCTGAAAGATATTGGAGCCACGTTTCTGATTGTTAGGTGTCTGTCTCTCTGTGATGTCTTCACATAGATCTTTCCTGATGTGACTTTATGCAGAGTCTTCTCTTGTTTTTTGTTTTTGTTACAGAGAGGGTCTCACTATATTGCCCAGGCAGGTTGCTGGTCTTGAACACCTGGGCTCAAGTGATCCTCCTGCCACAGCCTCCTGAGTAGCTGGGACTATGGTATACTCTACTTTGGCCAGCTTGTTATTTTAATGCTTTTGTTTTTCCTTTAAATATTTAATCTTTTTGGCATTTATGTTTGTGTTGGTGGGAATTTGGAAAAAATGTGGCTTATAAGTTGACAGAATAAGAGTCCCTAAGGTCAGAAACCACATAAACCGTTGTGAACTTCCTGGAGTGAGTTTTGAGCATCAGTAACACTGACGGCCTCCGTGGGTGAGTGACTGCTTACTGTTCTTAGGAATGTCAAAGAGTTTTATGCAATGGTACACATCAGTCCAATTTAAGCATTCTATACTTTTTTGCCCTGATAACTCACATTTGGAAATGATACAACAGAAATGTTTATTGGTGTTCTGTTGTGAAATAGCTCTTAAGAATCAGAAGTGTGAGAGACATTAAACAGCCACTTACAACTGAATGGTTATAAATGTGCATGCTTTGGTGAGAGACACCATGTGTCTCTTTTTAAAAAAATATTTATTATTTAGTTCATGTCTTTTATTACCTCAGTTACTTGTCTTCTGGTTTGTTGAAGCAGTAAGTCAGACAACATTTGCCACAATAAGGTCTGTTATTAAAGTGGCTTGCCATAAACACTCCAGCACCACATTCATCAGAAGGGCACTCTCGATAAAGGCGACTAATTTTACCATTTTCATTCATCTTATGATATTTCAGGACAGCCAGCTTAACCTTTCTTTTTCTTGTGCTTATTCTTCTTGGGGTGGTGTAAGACTTCTTTCGTTTCTTAGCAGCACCATGAAGTGTCAACACAAGATGAATAGACTCTTTCTGAATGTTGTAGTCAGACAAATTTGTCCTTCTTCCAGTTGCTTCCCAGCAAAGATCAGTCTTTGCTGCTCAGAAGGAATTCCTTCCTTATCCTGGATCTTGGCCTTTACATTTTCTGTCGAGGGTTCAGCCTCGAGGGTGACGGTCTTCTCCTTAAGGGTTTTCATGAAAATCTGCGTTTTGGTGGTGGCCCCATCTGAGGCGCAGATGGCGGATCAAAAAGGAAGCAAAAATTTATTTTTTTTATTTAGAGACAAGATCTCCTTATGTTGCCCAGATTGGTCTTGAACTCCTGAGCCTAGGAGATCCTTCCACCTTGGCCTCCCACACTGCTGGGATTACAAGTGTGAGCCACTGCACCTGGCCAGTGTGGGGTCTCTAAGTGTCAGTTGATAGATCTTTTGGAGGGCGGTTTGGTAAAATCTTAAATGACCTAGCAGTTTCCCTTCAGGAATTTACCGTAAGGTACCAGTTTGCTCACTTGGTGCGAGGATTTATTACACAGATGTGTTATAGTATTGTTTATAATGAAACTTTTTTTTGGGGGGTGGGGAGACAGAGTCTTGCCCTGTCCCCCCAGGCTGGAATGCAGTGGCTCACTGCAACCTCCCCCTCCTGGGTTGAAGGGATTATCGTGCCTCAGCCTCCTGCGTAGCTGGGATTACAGGCTCCTGCCACCACTCCTGGCTAATTGTATTTTTAGTAGAGCCCGAGCTCCTAAGGGTGGGGAAGGGTAACTGTCACCAGAGCTCCCGAGGGTGGGGAAGACCTTCCATTCTGACTAGCTGGAATGCAGAGGTGTCTTTGAAAAGAGTGGGTCTTCAGTAGAGGTTTTAGGAACGCTGTTCCTCAGGAGTAGAGCTAAAGTAACCCTTCAATAAAGAATAGTCTGGGCATGGTGGCTCACAGCTACAGTCCCAGCACTTCAGAGGCTAGGGTGGAAGGACTGCCTGAGCCCAGGAGTTTGAGACCAGCCTGAGCAACGTAGGGAGACCCCATCTCTACCAAAAACGAGTACTCTAGACCTGTCTTAGCAAAGCTTAAATAGAAGGTTTGAAGACATTGTGCTGATATGCAAGCATGTTAACCGCCTGCCTAAATAAATTTCAGACTCTACTAAGGAAAAGGACAAAAGCCAGTCATTCAGCAGTGTAGCCTGTAATCCCAACTGCTTGGAAGGCGGAGGCGGAAGAATTGCTTGAACCCGAGACGCAGAGGTTGGCTGCAGTGAACCAAGATTGCACTATTGTACTCCAGCCTGGGCGACAGAGCGAGACTCCATCTTTTTTTTTTTTTTTTTTTTTTTTGAGACGGAGTTTCGCTCTTGTTACCCAGGCTGGAGTGCAATGGCGCGATCTCGGCTCACCGCAAC